GTCTTTGCACTTGACTACTTATATGACGTATTTCCTGTATTTGGCCCAAGTGTTCAAGTGAGGATGAAGACCACAAGTGTGTGTCGAACTTTTCATTACCTGATGGGACACACTTATAGTGTTGTAAAAATGCAAGTGTTTACAGAGCTTTATTTTTATTTTCAATACTTTGCATTTTAAAATCAACTTCTAAATGTCTGTTCAGTAGTCTATATAACAGATGACAAAATGTAATGTTGTGATGCTTCTAATTAAGTGATAAAAAGCAGTTGCAAATGTTATACAAAATAATTATCACCACTACCTACTCATTTGCACCAATAAAACATGCAGCTCTTTGTTTTAATACCAAATTATATGTAATATCTAATTATTATTATTATTATTATTTAACATATTGGAAAGGTTTCCGTGACCTCTCGCGAGATCTCGGCAAAAAGTCTCACGATTTATTTCCAGAACATGATGCATGATGGGATATAAAAACACAGTTTTTCTACCAAATTATATGTAATATCTAAATATTATATTAATATTTAACTTGCATTGGAAAGGTTTCCGTGACCTCTCGCGAGATCTCGGCAAAAAGTCTCACGAATTATTTCCACAACATGGTGCATGATGGGATACACTACACGCTCCGGAGCAGTATTTGAGGCTTAGTGTATCCCATCATGCATCATGTTCTGGAAATAAATCGTGAGACTTTTTGCCGAGATCTCGCGAGAGGTCACGGAAACCTTTCCAATGCAAGTTAAATATTAATATAATAATTAGATATTACATATAATTTGGTAGAAAAACAGTGTTTTTACGTTTTATTGGTGCAAAGATGAGTAGTGGTGATATTTATTTTGTACAACATTTGCAACTGCTTTTTATCACTTAATTAGAAGCACCACAAATTAAAATTGTCATGTTATAGGGACTACTGAACAGACATTTAGAAGTTGATTTTAAAATGCAAAGTAATTAAAATTAAAATTAAAATAAAGCTATGTAAACACTTGCATTTTTACAACACTACAAGTGTGTCTCATCAGGTAATGAAAAGTTCGACACACACTTGTGGTCTTCATCCTCACTTGAACACTTGGGCCAAATACAGGAAATACGTCATATAAGTAGTCAAGTGGTCAAGTGCAAAGACCACAAGTGTGGGTATTTGGACAAGGCAAGTGTGGGTTTAGTGTGCGTTAAGGGCACTGCTCTCTGGCGTTTTTAAGACCTGGGACAGTCTTGCGCACTTACTTCCTGTCGCGCGCACGCGCTCTCAAGTGGCCAAGACCGCCAGTGTGGGGATTTGAACAAGGGGACTGAGGTTTCTGGTTTAGAACAGCTGAACAAATACAGGAAATACGTCATATAAGTAGTCAAGTGGTCAAGTGCAAAGACCACAAGTGTGGGTATTTGGACAAGGCAAGTGTGGGTTTAGTGTGCGTTAAGGGCACTGCTCTCTGGCGTTTTTAAGACCTGGGACAGTCTTGCGCACTTACTTCCTGTCGCGCGCACGCGCTCTCAAGTGGCCAAGACCGCAAGTGTGGGTATTTGAACAAGGGGACTGAGTTTTCTGGTTCAGAACAGCTGAACTGAGTTAGTTCAATCGACTCTGAGTAGGTTGACTCTGAGTTAAGCATGTGCACCATGTCTATGAAAAGCCATGATCAATGGCGCAACAGCGCCTCGACACATCCTGACAGAAACTCCAGCGACGGTCTATCCACAATGCCAGAACTTCCTAGAGGTTCAGGCGGTCACCATATCTCTTTCGCTGCTCATCATGTGGTTCATGGAGATGTGTGTGCGCGCATACCTGGCCGTCAGGTGAGATGTGTGTGTGTGTGTGTGTGTGTGTGAGTGTGTGTGTCTGTTTTAGAAACTGAGAGACTGAATGAATCTCTGTTATGCCGCAGGCCGTATATGGATGCTGTGGTTGCCTTGGTAACGCTGATGCTGGATACAGGATTGCCCTGCTTCCGCGGTCAGACCATCAAACTGCTCAAGTGAGTTCAAAACAACTAACAGTGGAGCAGAAGGGAAATGAGATTTATATTTGATTCATATTGGAAAACATATTTGATTTATATTGAAAAAAATAAATGTTTAGAAAAATCAAGCTAAAAAAAATCGAGGATTTGAATGAGATTAATTATTACTGACTTTTTGAAATATTAAACACAAATCATGAAACATGGAAAATTAGTGAGTTTTTACAGAATTATTACAGACTTACTAAGAAAGCATCATAACAGATGGCAAGAAAATCTCCAGAAACACCCACATTAATGAGATATTTATTTAATGGAGACGAATGAGATTTATGGTTTTCCTTGATTGTAAATTGATTATTAGGCAATTGAATATTAGGCATTTTTTTTAAGTTTGTCCTTGAAAAATATTAGAAATTTTATCAAATATCAAATCGACATTTTATATAACTGTTATTGTTATTTTTGTATTTTTTTGTATTATTTTTGTTTTTTATTTATTTATATAGTTTGTTTGTAGAGATATTGTTAAATTATTGTATGCAATTCATTAAAATATTATTATGATTATTTAAAATTTATTACTTGAGTTTAATTAATTAATTAATTAATGGATAGCTTGTAGTTTGTTGATATAAAGTGAATCATGTGTGTTGTAGGCAGCGTTTTAACCCTGGAGTGAGTGAGAAGGAAGCAGCAGCTTTTATCATCAAAGTCATTCAGAACTGCTTCCTGAGCAGCAGGTCAGTGTCTCTCACACACATTAATGCATGTCATTTCCCTGACAATGTTTCAGTAGGAAAAACTGTGCTTATAACATAAATAACATGACATGAAATGTTTTTCATTTGTTCCAGGAGCAAAACATATGACATGATCCAGTACTATCAGAACCAGATCCCCTACTGAAGGCCAGAGAAACGTGAGTGTGTGTGTTTCTCTTACTGTCTCTTAATGCTAAATTGCACTGCTGTCTCTGTCTGGTGTGTTTGTGCACTTTATACACCTGAAATGTGTTTGCATGGATTTATTCGCACCGATATCAGCACTTACAAGACGTTTTCTGCACACGTCACACTGTCTGCTGCATGATGGGTTTTGCAGTATGTGACTGTTTATTGATCAGTTGATCGTACAGTGTGACTAATCTTTGTTTGCTCATTTATACGGATCGATTTTCTACCTCTCTTTCTGTTCTAATCTGTTAGTTTGGATTATTTATTCTGTGTGTGTGATATTTAATAAATGCCCACAGTAGTCGCCTGTACACTTTTGTAATCTGGCATTTTGTGCATTTAATGTAAAAACGAGTGAGCCTTCAATTTCAGTGCATTCAATATCAAACTCATTTGAGCACCACAATCGCTTCCTTTAATCAGTCAGTCCCAGCGGGCACCTTGATGGTGAAAAAACAAACATTGACATCAAACATTGACGTCAAAAATGCAAATCAAACCTCTTCACATCCACACACTGATGTAAAAAATGCAATGCTATGAAAGAAAAGTTCTATTCAGCAAACTTGAATTCAATAATACAGATGTAAATTCAAAATGATATGCACCTATTCTGATTGCGAACAAAGATCAATATAGTCCAGATCTCAATCTGAATTAGATTTTCTGTGCAGCGCTACTCAAAATTGGCCAAATTCTGTAACATTCTGCATTATACAGCGAATCGTGGTTTTATGCCTGGATTACAAAGGACGTGTGTGTGGATGTGAAATGGACATCAAGTTTCTGACGTCAGTCTGATTTGGATATTTGACCTGTGTTTTGACGTCAGTGTTTGAAGTCAATTCGATGTCCTCCCAACATCAAGTTCCCCCTGGGATGGTGGTCGAATGGACATCAATGTGTGGATGTCAAATGGACATCAAGTTTCTGACGTCAGTCTGATTTGGATAATTGACCTGTGTTTTGATGTCAGTGTTTGAAGTCAATATTTCAGGTCTTTTGAACCTCATTTGCCCACTGGGACACGTTTCAAAGGGAGATGTGGCAAATGCATGCTGTTCGAGGCCCCAGTTAAGAAAAAATGCTACATAAACTTAATCAGGCTGACAAAGAATTCATATTATGCAATAAATATCAATCAAACACACAAATCACTGATTTCAATGTGATATGACATCCATTTGACGTCTAAACCATGACATTGATTTGATGTAAACAATGTCAAACATATTGACCTGTATATACATTAAACCGATTTTAGCGTGAGTATTAACTTCATATTTTCACCCGGTTACCACTGGAAGAAACTGCTGTCCAAACTGACCTTAAAATGATGTTACACGGCATCTTGATCAAGATCATTTGACGTCAAATTAATATCAAGGTGCCCGCTGTATTTTTTCATTTCATCTGGACTGTTCGCTTCATTATTTCCCCCATTATTTTAGATGAAGTGCTTTGAGCACCAGCTGAAAACAATTCAACTTAACATTTAATGACCACCTGTATAATAAATGAGAAAATTCAGACATTAAGAATGGATTCCAGTGATTAAAACAACAGATAATCTGCTGAGCACCGAATGCGCTGAACTCTGAACTTTAAAGAGTCTCGAATTTTAAGATCTGTTCACATATAGCTTTGTCATCATCGGTGTATCGTGAAAGTCCCTCTCTCAGACCAGCAAACTGATATTTATTTAAATGAATGAATATTCATCTAATTACTTATATATGAGATTTGTGTGGTTATCCTAAATGTAAGTGCAAATGTTTGGGTAAATGATAATTCCTGTGTGCAAACGTTTTCACACACTAACAGTTAGTCAAAAGATAATCTTTTCTGACTGGGTTATAAAACTTTGGCTTTGTTTGCTGTTGTTTTATGTATTGTAGATTTGTGTTCTGGACTCTTGTTGTTTAAGGACGTACCAAAGCAGCTTCATCAGTTCATGACCTTCACCGCAAAATAACTGAACACAAAGTATAGACAGTAATGAAAAGAGAGAGAAATCAGAGAGAGAGAGAAGAAGGTGTTTCATCACTTACAAAGCAGCGTTATCAGTTGATGATGGCCATCGACACAAAAGAGCCCTTAAATATGCTACTAATTGAACAAAAAGCTTTAGACAGGAATGAAGAGAAAGAGGAGGAGAGAGAAGAGAAGAAGAGGACCGATGCCGATTCTCTCAGTAGATGCTGCAGCTCTCTGGAGAAGAAACACCTCCCGTTAGTGAACTAAAACTGAAGATCCATCGCCTGGAAGATCATCCAGCTTCACGGTGAGTGACGGATCTGATCACATCTGAGAGCACATGCATTCATTTGTACATGAAATATATGAAACGATTGTATTCATTTCTTAAAGGCGAGATTTTCAATTGTGTATAAAGGTTTTGTCTTAAGTAAATGTTTTATTATTTTATCTTTTGCATGAAATGTAGTAGTGGAAGTGATGCTGCTTATGAAAAAAGGGTAGGTGATAAGCCTTCAGCCTTTACCTTTTTCATTTAATGTGTAAAATCATCTATAAATATTATAGAATTGTGCATTAGGGTTATTATAGTTGACTAAAAACAAACAAAAATAGAAAAAATTTTTGTCATTTGAAATAAAATACACTTTAACTGAAACAAACAAAAAAATATATATTATATATATATATATATATATAATATATATTTTTTTGTTTGTTTCAGTTAAAGTGTATTTTATTTCAAATGACAAAAATTTTTTCTATTTTTGTTTGTTTTTAGTCAACTATAATAACCCTAATGCACAATTCTATAATATTTATAGATGATTTTACACATTAAATGAAAAAGGTAAAGGCTGAAGGCTTATCACCTACCCTTTTTTCATAAGCAGCATCACTTCCACTACTACATTTCATGCAAAAGATAAAATAATAAAACATTTACTTAAGACAAAACCTTTATACACAATTGAAAATCTCGCCTTTAAGAAATGAATACAATCGTTTCATATATTTCATGTACAAATGAATGCATGTGCTCTCAGATATATATATATATATATATAGTTCAAACCCACGATATTATTATTATTTTTGGTGAGATGATGTTCTGTATCATCATACAAAAATATGATTTTTACATATATAATCAATAATATAATATGTAAGCAGGAGTGTTTCCGAGACTGTCGTTTTTGCCTGGCAGATAATAAAAAAAGGCAAAAATTCACATTAAGGAGGATCTGAGCAATTTCTAGAGACCAGCATATCATAGAGACTCCAATCAACCACCAAGAACTTTCTAGCATCATGGTGCAATTTGCATGTTTCGAGTATCAAAGCACAACTCGCATTTCTTCAGAAAGTGTAAAAATTATGCAATCATGCGCAACTGCTCTGCCTTTAAAAGTAAATACACAAAACAAATGCAGCAGCTCACATTTCCATTTTCCCCTCAGTAGCATCTTCTGCCTGTGTTGAAACAATCTCGATTGTATAATGCATTATATATAAATAAAGCTGACTTGACTTGTGTTGCAGGTCACAAAGATGCTGGCGGTGGTGGTGGTTCTGTTCGCTCTCCTCTGGATGCCGTATCGGACTCTAGTGGTTGTGAATTCGTTCATGGATCCGCCGTATCTCAACACCTGGTTCCTGCTCTTCTGTCGCATGTGCATTTACACCAACAGCGCCGTCAACCCCATCATCTACAACGCCATGTCGCAGAAGTTTCGCGCTGCTTTTAAGAGGCTCTGCGTCTGTAAAAGCAGGTCAGATCAGAGCCGAGCAAGCAAAAGCACTGTAAGTGTTTATTACAGCGTCATAAAAGACTTCTCCAGTGAAAGCAGTATGAAGAAACACGGCAGTATGAAAACAGACACGCTTAGCCCTGCTTGATCTGAGCACATTAAAGGAATAGTTCGGCCAGAAATGAAAATGTGCTCACCCTCAGGCCATGAAAGAAGTAGATGAATTTGTTTTCTTCATAGGAACAGATCTGGGGAAAATGTAGCATTGCATCACTTGCTCACCAATGGATGCTCTGCAGTGAATGGATGCCGTCAGAATGAGAGTCCAAACAGCTGAGAAAAACATTATATGAGTCTATCCATAATTTACATTTTACATTTACATTTAGTCATTTAGCAGACGCTTTTATCCAAAGCGACTTACAAATGAGGACAATAAAAGCAGTCAAAACTAACAAAAGAGCAACAATATATAAGTGCAAATGACAAGTCGCAGTACACGTACGTCAGTACACGTAGCAAGGTGTGTGTATATATATATATATATTATACACACACACACAGAAAAACAAATAGAAACCGGTCTGTAGTTCTCTAAAAGAGTTGGGTTAAGAGTTAATAATAATAATAACATAATAACACTTAATAATAACACTTCCTCCAGTGAAAAAGTGGTCTGGTCTGAATCAGGAGAGAAATCTGCACAGATCAAGCACCGTTTACAAGCCAAAACAGCTCTAAACAAATATGTGTGTGGATTTTGGTGTGAGAGACAACAGGAGACTGGAGGAAGCGTTATTATGGAGGAAGCGTTATTATGGATTATGGACTATTTTTGCACATCCGTTTTTAGAGTGCAGTGTTAGATCATGCCTCCATGCCATAAATATCAGATCCAGCCCCGTATGCAAGATCCTGTCAGAAAATGTCCGTTTTGTCTGGTAACAGAACAACTAGTCAGCAAAATTGTCTAATACCCAAAACCCGTTAAAGGGGTCTGCCGCCGCCTTGACGTGGAGACGCTGTGTTTCGTTTTGAAAGCGAAACTAATTAGTTTGGTCTTCCAAAAGAGGACACAACTAGAAATCAGTGGTTAAGTTGTATTTACAACACT